CAAAAAAAAAACTTTCCGGCACTTCGCGAATTGTCCACCACACGCGGTTTTTAACTATCGCGACACAGCAAAAAAGAATCAAACTCCGAGGAATGCGGCTCTGGCACGTTCTGCCGTTGAATATCGTTTTGGGCAAACCCGTAGCAAACAGCTCCTTTTATATTCTCGGTTTCCGTACATTGGAACTACCCAATACATTTCAAGCACTTTTTGCTTGTATTAGTCATTCTACAAAAAGATACACCCATCCCTTTTCTTTCTTCCGGTGCATTATACCAGTTGGCAAAACTCTTTGCTGGCAATGCTCATATGGGGCGAAAAAGCTTTTGGTTTTACATTCCTTTTTATTTGACGTTTGCCTCAGTAAATATTAATTTTGGCCGGACGGACAACCTCCAGTTTTTTTTTTCTTTTGGTAAGTTAAACAAAACGTTTTTTTTTTTTTTTTTTTTTGGGCTAAACAATTCATTAATTTATATACACTGCAGGGATTGCTCTCTTCTGATTAAAGGTTCTTGCTACTGGACGCGCTGAGCCAGACAATGGATCGCAAACCACCAATCACGGGTATCCAGCGCTCCCATAACAAGAACACCTGTCTGCGTAGATTAAAAACCCCCGAGAAAAAATAAATAAACATCATTACTCCAACATCGGTTGAGCCTTCCGGAATATTTTTACGCAGAGCGCTTTGTTTAACATATTTTAAAAACACATTACTCATTTAGGGTACTCTTTAGGAATTTGTACAACGATTTTGGTTTGCTGTGCCCAAACGAGTGAATCGAATCAAAAACCGGTCAGGAGATGTTGAACTCGAAATATTTAACGTATACATACACCCTGTCACCAGCTGCCCGGCAGGATATCACCCTGAAATAGGTGCGCTACTCAGAGGCTAAAACCGTATGGTAGTTGGTGACTTTAACGCGCACCACGATCTTTGGCACTCAAGCCTGTCAAATGATCGTAGGGGAATACATCTGGCTGAGCAGATAGACGATTCGACATTCTGCACACTGAACGACGACGCACCCACCAGGATTATGGGCAGCTGCTGCAGCTCGCCAGATCTAACAATTGTCAGCGCTGCCGATAGTCATATCGATTGATAAACCTGCCGACTTTGCTTCCGTGGATCACCGGACTTATGTCAACTTTTCCAAAGCTGACTGGAAAGGCTTCACGGATGTTACTGAGGGCGCCTTCACTGCACTACCCATACCAACCGACGTTCATGTAGGTGAACGTAAGTTCCGCAGGGTTGTGACCACTGCTGCAGCTCGCTTCATCCCAGCAGGATGTATTAAGGATCCACGTCCAAATTTTCCTGCCGAAGCGCCTGTTCTAGCTGATGAGCGCGACAACCTTCGTCAGGCCGGTCCCGGAAATCCCCGTATTAGGGATCTCAATTTGGGGATTCGGCAACTTGTGAACGTACATAAGCGGAAGAAATGGGAAGAGCATCTGAAGACCTGCAACTTCGTTGCCATCCCAGCGGACAACTGCTCGCGGATGAGCCCTCGACACGGCACGTCAGGAGGCATCTGTACGAACTGACAGACGAAGTCCAGAGGTATATTAAACAACCTCTGGACCCGTCAACCTACCGACAGGCCCTGAACGGCATTCACAGGGAATCAGTCTCAAGTTATGTAGACTCCCGCCCTGTGAACGCCGTTCTAGGCACACAACCACAGGACGTGGACGGGACAGAACTTTGTCTGTCTCGGGAGACCCGCACTACAATAGCCCAACTTGAACTCTGGCTATTGCAGCAGGCTCAACAGCTACCTGAGCAGAATCAACGAGGATGTGCCCAACCAATGCCCGGCATGTGGAGAGTCGCCACATGACTCTCGGCACCTCTTCACATGCCCTGAGATCCCCACTCAGCTAACGCTCCTGTCCCTATGGACAGCCCCTTTGGAAGTAGCACACTTCCTGGGCCTCCCCCTAACTGAAATTGACGACAACGTTGATGGATGAACCGCCCCGAACGGGGCTTAGTAGCCGCTACAACAACAATAACAACAACAATAACTGAGTGAATGACCCCAGAGAGGCCCTCCAAGTCATCCTCTTCTAATAATTGAGCACGTGATAGACAGGCAGAGATCAACATTGCTTTTCCTGGTTTATAAGTCACATTCATCTGTGGGTATTTCAACAAAAACATAAACATGTGTTGAAGTCACATTGTCACATTATCAATGTCTCGTTTAACTAATGTTTCCAATGGTTTGTGATCGCTTGCAACTGTGAATTTATGGTCATATAGTAAATAATGAAATCGATGGCACGCAAAAACAATAACCAATAATTCCTTCTCCATTTGTGCCCATTTTTGTTCACTCTTTGTTAATGTTCGTGTTGCAGCAGATTGCTGGTGCACCAAAAAAACGACTAGGCGGTTTC